AGCTGGATGAAAGTACTCTAAGGTGGATACATAATTGGTTGGATTACCCTACTCAACAAGTAGTCTTCAATGGCTCAATGCCTGGTTGGGAAGAGTAGCAAGTTAGGTTCCTCAGGGGTCTCCCCTGGGCCTGGTATTATTCAGTATCTTCATTAATGATTTGGATGATAGGATTGAGTGCACACTTAGCAAATTTGTGGATGACACCAAGTTGGGTGGAATTTTAGACACTCTGGAGGGCAGGGCTAAGGATCCAGAATGACTGAGATTGATTGAAGACCATTTCTCCAGTCTATGAGATGAGATTCAAGAAGGAAAAGTAAAAAAATCCTGCACTTGGGACATAACAACCGCATGTACTAATACAAATTGAGGAATGACTACCTAGGCTGAAGTACTGCAGAAAAGGACTGAATATTCATAAGCTGAATATAAATCAACAGTGTGCTCTTGCAAAAAAAAGCCAACAGGATGCTAGGTTGCAAAATCAAAGGAAGTGATTCTTCCTCTGTTCAGCACTCGTGAGTACTTGCCTGGAGTACTGTGTCCAGTTTTGAGCCCCAAGCATCAAGAAGGATATGGACAATTTAGAAAGACTCCAGCACCTGGCAACAAAAATGATTAGGAGCCTCAGAGACGAAACTTATTAGGAAAGTCAAAAATAACTAGGATTACTTAGCCTGGAGAAGAGAAGACTGAGCAGGGATTTGATAACAGTCTTCAAATACCTGAAGGGCAATTTTAGAAAGGATAGAGATGGGTTTTGCTCTATGGCTGTAGAAACTAACTGGCTATTCTCAGGAACAAGATTCTGGACTAGATAGCTCTGGGTCTGATGAGGGAAGGCAACATGGGAGGCCAGGGGTGACTGGTGCCTCCTGAGCCTGTGGAGGTACACTGCAGACCAGAAGCAGCCAGCCCGGCAAACTGTGGACCACCGGCCAGAACACAGGTACAGCTACCTCCACCCCCCGGATGGGGAGGTGGGCCCAAACCTCAACTGTGGCTGGCACAGGCCCTGCAGGAGGAGCTGAGGCCTCTCTGCCCAGCTCTGCGGGGTTGCAGTTTGCCATCCTGAGCAATGCCAAGTCAGGGGCCAATCTTGGGGAGGGGGCATGTGCCCCCCCGTGAGTCCCCTACCAGTCGCCTGTGTGGGAGGCAGTATGGCCAGGGGGTAGTGCATTAGCCTAGCATTTAGACAACTTGGCTGGATCCAGATGTGCACGCACGTGCAGTTTGTGGTGCCACAAACCTCTTTTCAGTGCCACAAGCCTCACATTGCATATTAAACCATGCACGGCACTGCTAATTTGCGGTGCTGGGGCAAAATTTGCTACCAGGATCTCCCAGGAGCAAAAATCTCCACTGACATAAAAGGTGGCACAAAGCATGCCAAAGTGCCAAGTGCTGGGAAAAACATGGAGGCAGGAGAAAAGGGATTGCCTGCTCCCCCTTCTCTGTGCACTGAGGAGCCCCCATGCTGAGGCACCCTGAACCCCAGACACCCACTCCCCAGCCAGGTAGGGTGCAGTGTGCCTTGAGATGGGAGCTTCACATGCCTCAACACAGAGGCTTCACAGTAAAGCCCTTGTTCTAAGGCATGCAGAGACAAGGAAGCAGCCAGCCAGGGCTGCCTGCTTCCCTGACTTGAGTGCCAGGGAGTGGTTGGCTAGGGTGCAGGGTGCCTCAGCATGGGGGCCTTTACAGTGTATGGAGACGGGGGAGCAGGCCTGACTGCACCTTGTGCTCTAGCCAGCCCCACCGCCAAGCACATGGAACAGCAGGATAATGTGTCCTACTGCAAACCGCATGAACAGGGGCATGCGCTACAGCACAAAGTAGTGGCACAAATTTATGTTGCTACTATTTGTGCTGCTGCAAATGCACACCCTGGCTTGTGTGAACACAGCCCTTGAGTTCCATTCCTAGCTCTGCCATTAGTTTGCTTTGGTGACCTTGGATGAGTCATTTTCTCCATCTGGCAATGATAATGCCAATATTGATCTCATTTTTAAAGCTCTTTGAGCTCTATAGGCAAGATGTGTTATTGAAGTTATCATTTATAAGTTCCTGGAGCGTGGGAGCTAGAATGACTAAAGTGAGGTGTTCTTGTTTTTTATAAGGTAGGTTATTGCTCTTGTTCTGGAATGGTCATCTTTTTTCTATTTATTTTTAAAACACTGGATGTAATTTAAGGAGATTCTTGCTTCCTGTTCTTGGAGGTGATTGCCTGGTTTGGTTTGATGCCTTAGAGCATGTGTAGATGAAACGGGGGCCCTAAATTGAAGCAGCGGGTTCTTTAAAACAACGCTTCAATTTGGACAAAGTAAACGCCCGTGTCATGTACACCTGTGTCTTACCTCCCTCTCTGGCGGTGGGCAGAGCGGTTGCTGGCAGCAACTGTCCCCCCCCAGGGAGCACCCACCCGCAGGCACCTGACTCAGGTGGTTCCAGGGGGCACCGCACCTGCAGAGGGAAGGACCGGTTCCCCACGCAGCTCATGAAGGCAGGCAGGCTCCATGGGGGAAAGAAAAAAAAAAAGAAAAAAAAAATCAGGCTCACTGGGGGTTTTTTTTCCCCCTCTTTGGTGGAGCCTGCCTTCCTGGGCTGCTGCCAGGCTGCCTGCATGGGCGTTGATCTCAGTGCTTTACTCCGTGGCTGTAGTTCAGCAAACTAAAACTCCTCAGAGGTGTTTTAGTTTGCTGTGCCCCAAAGTCCTTTAAGGTGCATTATACCGCCAAATGTGCTACAGCGGCTGAAATTAATCCATAATATGCCACCAACACGTGCAAACGCCAACACCATTAAAGCAGTGCAAAAGCATTTAACCTGCTTTAAAATGTCATTCACATGCGCCCCTAGTTTCGTCTACACGTGCCCTTGGAGCACCAGTTCTCTGACAGATTGCACATTGCCAATTTAAAATGATACATCCTTAAATACCACCATCAAATTTTTCAGTTCAACCTTAAGTACCATCAGCAAATTTTTGTCATATTAAGTAATTATAATAATCTGTTAATGCATACCACTGACAGGTTGTCTGTGGACCACTGGTGGTTATGCATACCAAAGATTGGGAACCACTGCCTTGGAGCATCAACAGGTTTAAAAGGTAGGAAATTTTCCTGTATGACTCATTCCTAGGATTTGCATTTCTAGTTTATGAATAAGATAACCAGTATTACAAGTATTTGTTTCAACCTGATCTCCAATAGTGACTCCCTCTGTAATCTTGATCAAGTCAAGTGCCTTCTGTGCCTCAGTTTCCATATTTATACCATTAATTTACATCCTTCATAGACTTACTGTGAGAATTAGTTAATTTATGAATCTGATGCTAAATAGATGTTTAGCAGCTCTCGGACTCACACAATAAATGCAGTTTTGGCCCCACACTTGAAGAAAGATGTGGACAGAGTCCAGTAGGTAGTAAAAAAAAATATTAGTGGCCTGGGTGTCAAGCTGCAGTTTTGAATATGGGGCCTTGGCCTGGTCAACATAGCTGCTTGTCTCAGCCTTCGACCCTGTGGCTAATTGCCCAGGCTGGTTAAGGCCAGCCTGAAGCCTCCCACGAGTCCTAACTTTCTGCATACTCCCTGTCAATGGAGTGGTTGGCCAGGGTCAGATGACTCTCCACTTCCTCCATACAAGCCCCTGAGCCAGAACAGGAAGTGTCCAGGCAATAAGGTTCAATCTGACTCAAGGCTGCTTTGCTGTTTCTGCTAGCTTGCTTTGTGATTCTGCTCTCTGTGTGATCTCATGGCTTCTTGATCTAGCTTGTTCCTAGACTCCACCCTCTGCTTGACCTCCCAGCTTCTTAACTTGGCTTTCCCCTAGACCCTGCTCTCAGCTTGACCTCCTCGCTTCCTGACTCAGTTTGCCTTTGGATTCTGCTCACCCATCCTCATCCTGGTTGGTGCCTTGATCCCCAAGTGGCCCCAGACCCAGCCATCCATGTGCCAGCATGACACTGGGAAACACAATTTTTGAGGAAAGGCATAAAGAACTAGGATTGCTTAGTCTAGAGAAGACTGGTGGGGTGGGGCGGGGCGGGTGTTGATAACAGTCTTCAAATACCTGAAGGGCAATTTGATGGAGACAGCCTTTTCCCTGTGGTTGTAGGGGACAGGACTAAAAGCAATGGCCTCAAGCTTCAACAAGGAAATTTATATTGGAAATTAGGAGGAACTTTCTGGTTATGGGGGTAGTCAAGCACTGTAACAAGCTACCTGGAGAAGTTGTAGAATCTCCATTCCTGGAATTTTCAAAAGCAGTTTGGGCAGACACTTGGCTAGGATGGTTAAGTTAGGGATGATCCTGCCCTGAGGAGGGGGCTAGATGACCTTGTGAGGTCCCTTCCAACCCATACTTCCCTATGATCATGGCAGATAAATTCTATATCAACAAATGCAAGGCAATGCACATTAAGGAAAACTACCCTAAATTATACATACGCAATGCTGCACTCTGTGTTACAACTTAGGAAAAAGATTCTGGAGTCACTGTAGGTAGGCCTCTCAAATATCACCTTAATGTGCAGCGGTGACCAAAAAAGCCAACAAAATGTTGGGCGTCCTTAAAAACAGAACTGAAAACAAAATGGAAATCACATTATGCCACTACACAATGTCACAACCCAATTAAGCAGTGCCCATGCCACTAGCAAGAGATACCATTCAAAGCATTCTCACTCCGCACTGAAGTCAACCAAGGGTTAAAAAGAAAGCCCTTGCCGGTAACAGCCTTTTTTGCTGTGCATGCCAACGAAAGAGATTTATGGCTGCGTCACTAACAAGAAATGAAACTTTAGCCTTCTGTGCTTTACATAAATCATTATAATTGGTCAAAGTAAACAGGGAGTAGCCCTGCAATAAAACCCTAGCAGAGACCGCTATATAATTGGCGATTCTAATTAAATTTATGACGTGGTGTGAAACAATTGGTTATTACACAAACAAAACCCGCTTGCACTTCCGCAAAGTCGGAGAACTCTGAACACAACTAAAAGAGTAACTTGACAATCTGATCAATTGTCAACGCCTTCCCGTCACGACCTCCCAGACGTACCCTTCACCTGCATGCTCGATAAGACGTAACCTGCCGACCACCGGCCCGTATATACATCTGCAGACCGACCTAATGAACTCTAAGCTGTAACTAACTAAGTATCTCTGACCTCCGTCATTCACCACCTTGACGGCGTAAGTAAACAATCTTGCTTTGCAACAGATAAGCGTCCGTGCCTAATTCCACTCCAAGTGTCACAAGTACCCACCTGCTGGGCCCCTAAGGCCCCGGACCCCTCGCTGCAGTGCACGGCAGTGACACACAACTCCACAGTGTGCCCACATCTTGAATACTGTGTGCAGTTCTGGTCTCAACGTCTTAAAAAAGATGAAGTAGAATTAGAAAACATGTGGAAATAGGCAATCAAGATGATCAGGGATATGGAGCAGCTGCCATACCAGGAGAGACTAAAAAAGGGTAGGGCTCTTCATTTTAGAAAGGAAAAGGCTAAGGCAGGATATGATAACCTCATATAAAGCTCCCCTATAAAATCATGAAGGGCATGGAGAAAGTGAATAGAGAACTGTTATTCATCAAGTGCTAGCGTACTGAAATTAGCAGAAGACAAACTAATATGAGAAAGTACTTTTTATGCAGCATGTTAACTTGTGGAACTCATTACCACAGGAGGTTGTAGAGACAAACAGTGTAGCTAAACAAAGGGCTAAACAAATTCATAGGTGATAAATCCATTAATCGGTATTGAAAAGAAGAGTCAGGGATGTATCCTCTGGCATGTCTAAAAAATGGTGGATGCCAACCAAGCTATGACAGAGACAGATCACTCCAGATATACCCTGTTTATATGCTCTTCTAAAGTATCCACTCCTAAAACAATTGGAGACAGACTACTAGGCTAGATGGATCTTTGGTCTGATCCAGTATGTCACTTCTTATTTCATAGATTTCATAGACATCAGGGCTGGAAGGGACCTTGGAAGATCATCGAGTCCAGCCCCCCACCCAAAGGGCAGGAAGTCAGCTGGGGTCATATGTTCTTATGATCCTATATACAAAATGCTTTGACCATGGGCAAGACTAAGAGAGAGCTAATTTTAGTATAAAATGGAAAGGGTTTGCTTTTCTATTACTGAAAAATTCAAAAAGAGAAAAAGAAAACATTGGAAAAATAAAATGATTAAAAAGAATAGGCCTAAAATGGGGAAGATTTTTAAGTATCAACTGAGGTATGTGTGATTTTTCAAATTTTAAATTAAAGAGAGCTTTATTGTTGAGTGAATGTTTGCTATTAAATATCCTGCAGTTTTCTTTTCCTTTTTTGTATGTCAAAGATTAATAACACACATAAATGCAACTATTTTTATTCAACAGTTTCAATATAAGTGCTATTGAAAAATAATCAATGAGAGATGGTGTTGACAATCCAAGTTTATCCAGATAGAAAAGTGAAAGAACTTGAAGATGTCTTTAAATTACTAGGAAATGGGACTTCAATGCTTAAGGTAAGAGTGAAAACCGAGAGAAAACATTCAGTGGTAAAGACAGCTTTAAAATAGATGCAAGAATCCTAATAGCAAAAGTATCATTGACAGTATTTTCTGAAAGATAAAACAGATTTTATTCTAGTTACATGAAGAGATGTTTGTGCTGAAGAAATGTAAAAAGTGAGAGATGTTCATAACTTGAATAAGACACAAGTGATCTACTGTGTTAAAATCAGATCTTTGTTTGACATAGCCAAAAGACAGGGTGACTATATGGGACGTGAAATGGGGGAAGCTGCCTGCCTGCCTGCCCCCCCTCCCCCCTCCATCTCCCTACTGCAGGCAGTCAATGGCCTGTTAATGACCCAGTGTCATTTGCATCACAGGTGTTAACAATCACCTGTGAAGTAATAATTAGTGTTATAGAGATTCCTATTTCACAGCTCCTGCCGCTCTGCCTCCATGCCCCCGGCTGGCTTTGCCTCTGCACTGCCCCAGACCCAGAATGCTCATTTTAAGTTACATTGGTAGGCAAGACTAGGGCCAGGACCAGCCTCCGAAATCTAGTACTGTCCTGGTCAATCCAGGACATATGGTTACCCTACCAAAAGGTCACCAGCTTAGGAACACCCTGGAGTGGCCCACATGTGGCATTTCCTGGAGACTGCCCTGCCACAGGCAGCCCCATCACACCATCTAACCCCACCAAGGTGCAGTTTCAGGTCTTACCCAGGACTAAAAGGAATCCTCCATCCCCATAGTTCCTACCCTGACCTCCAGGTGTAACAGGAACGGTAACACCTTAAGCCATGTGATGTTACTCCTCCAGCTCCCCAGATGTAGCTGCCAGCCCTGCTCCCAGGGTCCGGGTTTATACTCTCCCTGCCCAGCCCTCCTCTAATCAGAGAGCCCCCTGCAGTTACGTGACTACCTTATTGAGCTTGAACCCACCTTCCAGCTTCTCCACAGGCTGCCTGATGGTCTTAAAGTGGCAGACACAACCAATGCACTGCCATACATATCATAGAAAATAAAGCATTTTTTCTCTTTTACTACAGGAATTTAAACCAAATATTTTAGTGAGACTGTTGATATGTATGCTCAACTCAGGAGAAGAAGACAACCAGCTTAGCACCAAGGGACATGTTTGAATGCTTTACCTGGAGTTAAATTAATTCATTTAACATACAGTGTAATAGACAAAAAACCAGCAACATGCTAGCAGTTGCATAGGGCAGGATAACTGATGTTTAATCCTAGCTCTGACATTGACTTAGTTTATGGCCTTAGGCAAACACTTACTCTGTGACTCAGTGGGTACATTTATGTGATGCTACATCGCCATAGCAATGCACTACACTGACATAGTGTCCACGGGCAAAAATCATAATGCTGCTGCTACATTGCCATAACAATGCATTCCCTCAGGATAGCATGTTGATACAGCGACGTAGCAGCTAAAAATACCCATGTGCCACTGGCATGGCATAGTACAGGCTGCTACTGCACTGTCATTTAGTACTTCCAAAAGAAAGTACTAAATGAAGGCATGGTAACAGCGGCACCGTAGGCGCACGTGTAGACATGCCCAGTATCCCCATCTGTGAACATGTTCTTAAAAGAGTATTTAAAGCAGCATTTAGCCACATTAGTCTGAAATCACACAAAATACAGGACAGGGTGACACTTTAGGGCAGCAGCTTCCTAACTGTGGGTCACAACCCCAAATGGTGTTGCAACATTAGTGGATGGGGTTGCAGGGGTTGGGGGCTGTGGGTTGGGAGTGAGGGGCCATGCTGAGGATATAGGGCCATAAATTGGGTCATAATGCAGAAGTTTGGGAAGCACTGCTTTAGGGGTTAACTCATCCCAAAAGGCAAAAATGTCATAGGCAGTGAGGATTAATTAATTCATGTCTATGTAGTTGTTTGACTCAAGTGCCAAGTATTATTATATTTGTATGTTTTTCAGGTTAATGATTGCTAATATATGAAATATCACCAGTTTAAATGATTTTTGTGTATATTAGATTATATTCGAAGGGAGGACTTATTTTATTAATATTGTCACATCCTCTTTTGCCTGGGCAATCCCATGGAAGGAAGGAGCCCTGGGTGCTGGCTTCTGCCCCCAGTGGTACTTCTAAATGTAATATCTAATAATCATTAGATAAAATAATCATTAGATAAAATAGGAGCATAACACAGGGCCCTCTCCCTTCTAGAGTAGTTCTCAGGCAAAGTTCCTTCTGGCTTGCTCTCCTTTAAGTCCCATGCATCTTCTCATCTTGGCTGCCAAATGGGCTAGCAGGAACAAAAAGAGAGGACAACTGCAACCCTGCCTGATGGTTAGAACATTGCTGGGAAGATAGAGATGCAGGTTTAAAACCCTTCTGGCTGAGGTGAGCCTAGAATCTGAGTCTCCCATTCCTTGGGCAAGTGCCCTAACCATCTGGCCTTTTGCACTGCCACCAAAGATTTTTTAATTTTTTTTTACTGACATTCCACAAACTTTTTATGGACATAAGTTTTTACTGGGAAATGTTTAACATAATGTCAATATAACCCTTCTGCCAAGCCCTTCAAATTTAGGAATTTAATACCAACTTCTAAAAAGTCTTACTAGACTGCAGCAATGGTTGTACACTGTGCTTTCTCATGCCAGGGGCCCCTACTCACCCATAAGCCCAGTACCCCTGATTGCACCCTGCATCAAGCTGCCCCCACCCCAGGCCACCCCCCAACCTTGGCTCTGCCAGTCCTGCTTCCCCTATCTGGGCACAAACCCACATCCGGTACTTCTTCCCTGTCCTGGCCCAACAGCTACTTTCTGGCCACACCACCCATTCCCTGTCCCAGCTGATGCCTCAGACTACCCTGGGCCATGCAGCCCTAATGGCCTATGAGGCAAGCTGTCGTTACAGGCAGGCAATAGCTGATGGGATGCAGCGACAGCATGTGGTTTGGGGTTGGGGATAGAGTCCACAAAACCTGAAGGAGAGCTCCCTTCAGGGTGCTGTGCTCCCACTCTGACACAAAGTGGTGCTGCTTTGTTCCATCTATTGCATCCAGCCTCATTCCAGTGGCAGATCTTTAAGATTAGCTTACAATAATTATATGTATGTGTATATGCATGTGCATGTATATTTGTGTGTGTGTATATACATACAAGCGTCTGTACACACACACACACGTTGCTTGGAAACTCTCTTTCACATTACTTCACTGTAAGAGGAAAGGTTTGCAGGAAATGGGATCCCTTCAGGATCAAGGAACAGCAAACAGGCCAGATACAGAGGAGTTTGCTAGGGAAGGTCTGCTTGGAAAGAGAGCCAGGAACATTGTGTGGGAGGCTGGCATTTCATGAAACAATTTCATATTGCATGAAGATTTGATAAATGTAATTTATAAGGAAATATCTTTCAGCTCTTATATAACTTAATATATATATTATATATATATCTATAATAAGTATAATATATAATAAGTGAAATATATAAATATATTTATATATATGCTCATTACAGAAATGTTTACAGATATTTACAGATGTTTACAAATATTTTCTGTAATAAAATTAAAATATGTTATAGTAGGTGTTTGACTTCTAGTGTACAATTTGGTTTTTTTTTCTGGTTCTAAGATGGCAACCCTCCCTCCCAAAGCAGTATTTGGTAGGTGGGAGAGAGTGGGGGGCAAGGGGAGGGACTTCCAGTGGCAAAGGTCAGGGGTAGTGGGGCAGGACTTCTGGTCCCAATATGGTAAGCAGAGGGCAGGGCAACTATCAAGGGGCAGGGCTACCCATGTGGTCCTCAATCGCTCACCAAAACTCACTAAGCAGCCCTCCAACCGAAATAATTGCCTGCCCCTGCAGTAGTCTATACCTAACAGTACTGGTGCCATAAAAACCACAAACCCTATTTAACATTACAAATGTCACTGTCAGGCCAACCTTTTTCATACCATACACTAGCTTTTATATCATCAGGGAGATTGAACTAGATAAGAGGGGAGCAGGGAAATTATTTTTTCCAGCAATTAGAAAAAGCCATTTCTGTTTACCAAATTAAAAGCCTTTGTGAAATTTGTGAAAGCCATGTAGAGAAGGATCTCCTTTTTCCAGACACTTTTCTGGCAGATACCTGAGAGTAAAGACTATGGTCAATAACTGACTTCCTAGTTAGCTTGATTGAGAGGAGACACACTTTAAAGGGTAAATGAGCTTTATTGGAGTACTATAACGAGCTGCATTACTATAATGAAGTTACCTTGAGTGGAGCAACTTGAATTAAAAATTCAGTGAAGATCTACCCTTGAAACATCTGTTTCTATTTTAGCTCCCCTCAAATCAAATACTTAGATGATTATGAGAAACTTCTTCCCCACCTGCAAAAAGGATCAATCCTCTCCTCTGTGTTGTTCAAACCTATAAGAAACAGTTGGAGGAAAAACGTGAGTCAGGAGAGGCTGAAGTATTAGTAGCACACAGATGACACCAAGCTCTACATAAAGAAAAACCTTCAGTTACAATACACTACCATCACCTATATTTTATGCCTTCAGATTAAATTGGTCCTCAACATCACTATTTTGGCATCCCTTGTTATACTAAAAACCTAACTGGCCATGATAACAGAAAACACTTCCCTTTCTTTTCTGAGATTTGTCAAATGATTGGGTTACTTTCTAGTAGGTATAGATGGGCTTTACAGTGCTTTCATAAGAGTTTTCATACGATATTATTACAACTCTTATCAAGAGATGAAGCCACATGCCTTGTAAAAGCTCAGACTGGTAGAAATCATAACAGCATAGAACTCTATGCTCCATTATCTGGTCTGGCTTCAAATTAAATCCAGAGTCCATTTTGAAGGCTCTCTTCCAATATTCAAAGTACAGTAAATGTACCAGGAGTACCTATATAAAAAAAAATTCAAATAAAGCAATGTTACAAATGGTGCTAAAAACATGCAACTAATAACAAAACATGTTTCTCATAATTGATATACAGAAACATTA